AATATGTTCTATCCATATAAAACTGTATCCTTCAAATTAGTGTCCCACTGACACAAATACCTGAGGCAGAATCCTCTGGAAACTAGGTTACAGCAGGCTCTGAATGCATTCTTAATAATGAAAGAGACATCACAGAGCAAACAGATGTGGAAGAAAGGTGGCATACGCATTTGTTAGAATGGAGATAATGTTGTTTCTTAGTGTTTGTATTTTATTTGTGAATTCATTTTCAAGTACAGAACTAAGCTTCTCTTGAGGAGGTAAACAATGTGTAAAGCTCTTTGATACAAATATGAGTGTACTGACTTAAAATCCCAATAAGTAAGAGAAAAAATCCACCAAACCCTTTTAAAATCCACAAAACCCTCTAAAGAAGTCCTCTGAGCTCTGAGTGGGAAATCTCTTCCGAGCATTCCTTGTTGTGAGGCTTGCTCCGATATGGAGCTAAACATGCCTGGCTAAAGGTCTGGCCTTTGTAGGCTATATGCTGTTGACTTGCACTGAGAGGAATGAGAACGGCAGAGATTATGGGCAATTAAAGCCCACTTTATGCCGGTCTGCTGGCGTCACAAAGTCTGGCCAAGAATGCTCACCTCGGCTAATACTATCAATGAGAAGAAACTCTGCAGCATCAACTTATTATGTACAGTGAATTATTAATGCCACAGCTAGCACCATCCAGCTGAGCTGCAAAGCAAGAAGGCAATGAGATTTGGTTGGAATGCTTAATTGTTAAATACTGAAAGATCCTAAACAGCAACACAATATGAAAAGGCTTACCAGGCTAAAGAATACACATAATAATACAAACACCGGTGGATAAATCACGTGTGTCTGTGTACAGAGGGACAGACAATCCATGTTGCTTTTATTACAGTTCTGATTTAGTGACAAAATATGTTTGCAACTATATGCTTTGCTCAACATCCACCTTGCAGTTGGCTTACCAGCATACTTTTTTTTAAAGATGAATAGTAAGACTATGAGTGCAAATGCTTTCTAAGCAGCATGGATCAAGACTGGTTATGTGTGAGGTGCATGGCACTCTGTTGACCATTAGAGGGCCTTCTCAACACAAGGGTCTGTTACTGTATCAAGTAAAGTGGCAGCTGGTCTGTGTGAATGAAAGTCTCATTGGTTCAATTTCTGCTTTCATGTTTAGGTGCATTTGATTTGGTTGTACCACAATTACCCCAATGCACAAACATAGAGAATTACGTGTTTGGGTTTTACTGTGTGTGAACTGCCTCAAATGCAAGTCAGCTGAGGTCAGTAGTGGACCTCCTATGTAAAGGGAGCTGTGAATTGCCCCAGAGGAGATACGAGCTTCCTGTGTCTCCCTATCTCACTGCCTCCAGTGTACTGAACTAGGTCAAACTGTCTCCACTTCCATTGACTGTATATGAGCCCTAAGAGCAGTACACTTAAAGTCACACTTGAGGGAGCAATGGCTGTTGGTGATAAATGGTGATTAAATGGGTAAAACGGGAGAAGGGGAATATGACTGGTTACTAATGACCAAACATCTGTCTTATTTGTAAGAATATTTCAAATAAATGCTGTCATACAGAAGATACACATTTTTGTAGATATCCTTTAATTTTTTAGGTCGGACTTTAGTTAGTTTTTAAATGAAAGATCTATCAATGCAAGGATTTATACAATGCAAAATGGCAATGATTGTATCTTCCAACAAGAGAACGTGGAAATGTTTGATGTTCGTCTCTGCAAGATTTTCAAAGCATGTACTGTGTGTTATGAACGGTCAATTTGCTTTATAAAAAACATGCAGTTTGGCCTCACTGCCACCTCACAGAAGACTTCTATTTTCTCTTGGATGATTATAACACAAACTGTAAGCAACACTGTGTTTGGCTGCACCGAGGGCTGGAAAACACTCGCCGCCGCCAACGGGAGAAACATGCTCAATTTGATGCAGCTGTCTTCCTGGAGCACACGCTAGTGATGTGATGCTGTGTGGGGAAACTGTGTTTCAGAGCTGTGGTGGCATGGAGGGGGCTGCGGCTGGGGAGCAGGCCATATAAAGCAAAGGGCACGCCAGGCTGGATAAAGATCACAGGAGGATGAGAGGAAGAGAGAAGAGTGATAGAGGAAAGTGAGCAAGGGGCCTCTGGGTCTGGGCTGTCGGCCCCCAGAGCAGGGGGCGCTGGCCGGGGTGCCACATCGTTCAGACGGCCTGGTGTACACAGAGAAACCTGATCTAATGGAGGGCTCTTTTACAGAAACACCATCCAAGGGTTGGTACATTTAGTCAAAAGATCATTTTGAGCTACTTGTACATTACTCGAGAATTTCTAAATGCTACGTTATAGTTTTACTCAACAAGTACTCGGACCTTTTAACTTAAGAAGTAGCAAAAGCAGATTGTAAAATGTTCTAAGTCCTGCATTGAAAATGGTATGTATGTATTGGCATCAAAATAGACTTCAACTACCAAAAGTACTTTTCAGAATAATTTATATTAAATCGATTATGATTATTGATGCATTCATTTGTCTCTCACAGCTGGTATACATAGAGCTAACTTTAATTACTGCTTGATATCCTAACGTCAATGTTAATTTATTATTTGATTTATCTTTTGTTTTTCTTATAATCTGATAAGTAACCACTAACCAAAGCTATCTAACAGTAAAGTGGAGTAAAAAGAACAACATTAGCTTTAAAAATGTAATGGACTAGTAGTATAAAGCTACCTGAAATGGAAATACTCACTACAAGTCCCTCAATATTGTACTTAAGTCAATGTACTTTACTACATCCAAAATCTGCTTTTACTACACTTCATTTTTGATAAAATAACACACTTTTGACTTGATTTGTGCAAAAGCTAGTAATTTAAAGATTGATTTAAAAAGAATTGTCAAGCACATATTATCAGCGATGAAACCAGTTGTTATATTCCTTTCTAGCTCGTAAACCCTTGCAATAAACAGTCCTTGTCATGTTTTGTATTATGAGTTGCTGGAGATTTTTCCTCTTGAAACTTCTCAGATGGTTTCATTTAAATAGCAGTTAGAGGCCCGAAAAGGAAAAAGAAAATCCAGAATTTCACAAAAACAGCAAAGATTATTAAGAAGTGCACAACCTCTCTAATTGTTGTCCCTTTGAAGAGGCCGGAGCCACTGGATAAACTATCGATAAAACAAGGTTTGGCATTTAAACACGGGAGATCAATCAGAAAGGGTCGTTTTTTTGAAAATTAAGACATATGATCTTTTGATATCATCTTTGTTTTTGTGAATTATTAAAGCATCAGAAGACTTTGACATTTTACTTTATAACATTAAACATCAAATTGTTCTTTTTCACAATAATAGGTTTGTTTTAATAGATTTGTCTAGAAGTAACAACATGTGTTACAAGAGTTCATTATGAACATGGTGTTTGTTTTTATCCCCAAAACTCAATAGAAAACTCTGTATTGCATGAAAGTTTAATAAAAAGCATCTGGCCTTGTGGGTATGGAGACCCGAAAAGAATCAAAGGCCATCACCAACGCCATATTTAGTGTTTTAGTGAGCGGCATTACAAGACAGGTGTAAGACTCAACACGGCTCGTGTTACTGTTGTCAACGACGAGTGTTAGGTTGAAGAGGAATATTAACACTGATCTGCTGTCAAAGGGCAAGTCTGGGGAGGGGGGAGAGAGAAAAGGGGGGCGGGGGGGATGAGACTGGAGTTAAAGGTCATTGAAGGAAATAAAAAGCTCAAATGTCTTGCCATTTCAGCGAAAAGGTTAAAGACGGCTGTCAGCACTCATTTAAATGTTCCAGATGATCCAATAGATATAATCTTATCTGCATATGTCCAATGAGCGCTGCACTCACTTGAAACTAATTATCCTAAGCAGAGCACTTTTTGTTAGTACAGTAGCAGCAAAATAACAGTTTGGAGATTAATTTAATGTATTTAATTGACTTGGTTAATCTCTCAGATTATCTGCGTTGTGGCAGAATATGAACCAAAGGCTTGTTGCTGGAAGTAACCTAAAATAATTAGACTAAAACAATGCTGCGCCGAAACAACTATGCAGGCCTGTGACAGCACCACTGAGGAATTCTGCCAAACGAGTCTAATTGTAAAGGCAGAAATGTGTAGTTAGACCTAATTAAACCAAAGCCCATCTGCAGACAGACAGGCCTATTATCAGGAGTATTGGAGCCATTATGCAAAGTTTATATAACCTTTGACAGCAGCAGCATCTCCGAAATGCTGCATTTCACGTTGCATTGCCAAGCCATGCATGAGCAATTGAGCATATGCGTTCAAAATCATAACTCTGAGACACCATCATGCCACTGGGAATCACCACTAAAATATTGTTATACCTATAGCCTACTGTTTATGCCATCAAAGGTTATCCAATCTTTGTAAAATGAGTGCAGGCCTCCACAAGATTAAAACACTAATAGGCTCTGAATTTACAAATGGGCTACTATATCAGTGTGGGCAAATACACCCTTAATATCGACAGGGTCCTGACTATACCTTCATATTTCAGAGAAGACATGGGGGGGAAGACATGCCCTAGTGGATCTTTATTTTGATTTGTAGTTTAATTGACCTAAATAAAGAGTGCTGTACCACGAACAGAGGTTTTCTCTCTTGGCTGCATGGCCTCGAGGGGATGTGAACACACGCGCACGCAGACGCACACACAAACACACACACCAGAGGGACGACAGTAATTATCCTTTCCCCGGAAAACCCCATTTGCTATTGTGCTCGTCCAATCGCTGGATGCCTTCGGCTCGTGGAGCGTTCACTTGACATCTCACTGTATTACAGCTTCCGTCTCCCTCTCCTCCCGCTGGCACCGAGGAGATCCCCGTCCCTGCAATGACTCCATATCCGATCCAGGAGCAAAAGCAGCATCGCTCGAAATGAAAGTTTGGACCGTAGGCTGCCTTAACGCACAAATAAACCAGGATTCGCTCGGTTTTTGCGTAAAAGCAGCGTGAAATCGGGGACAAAACATGCAGGAGAAGCTCAAGGACAACGGGACTCCCACTTCATCGAGAGCGTCGTCTTTTTTTATCGAGAACATACTAGGCAAAGGGAGGGATAAACATGAGTCGGTGACGGACAGGAGTCGCGGGGAAGCCGGTGTGGAGACCGGCTCCTCTGACCGAGTCCTGAAGGCACATCACGCCGATGTGAGCGCCCCAGAGCCGGATGGCTGCAGCTCCACAGCTCGGTCCCCGTACAGAGACTCGCCCTTACAGTGGCACCGCGGGGCAAATGCCTTAAACTTCAGAGCTCTGGAAACACCACAAAGTGAGTAGAGAGTCGCTATGAATCCTGAAGATATAACCATTATTTTTTAAATAGCAAACAAATGAGGTGCGAGCAAATATAGCCTTAAAGACAACAGTGTGATGCTGCTATTGCTGGTGTGTTAGTGAGGATTTAATATACTTCCGATTTCAGTTTACCATATTTTGTATAAACTGATTTTTTATATATATGTTTTGTTTTAGAATATTACATAACCGTTGTAAAAAGGACAGCAGTAGGTGCCATAGGGTTGTCGGTTCTAGGTCACATTTATTCATCTTTTATTCACATCCATTGTTTGGTGCCTTTTATTCAGGCCGTCAGGTCGTTTATTTAATCATGTTAATGTAGTAGAACCATATGAGTTCATATAGAAAGCCAGCTTGGAAGTTTCTCGCCTCATTAAACAAAACTAACACAGTCAGAACGAGTCAAGTGTGGCTCCTCTCTCTCTAACCCGGAGCTCACAGAGCCTCCCAGAGTGCTTTAAAAACCACCGATCCCTTGCCTTGTATTGCGTGCATTTTTACGGAAACCAGGGATTGCATCAATCTGTGAGACAAGACTGAAGGTTTTTCACGGCGGATCACCAGAAGCACAATTGGTCCTCTACCGCACAAAACCAGTGTATAGTATTAGTTGGTTGTTATTAGGAGATCCGTGCCTCGGTTTGAGGATTACACACAAATGTCCAGAATACAACCCAAAACAGATGCGCAGAAGCAATGCACGTCAAAGTGATGCTTTCACGTGCATGTCACTCACGCGCCATCATAAAAAAGTGCCCATCCCTTTACTTTTCAGATAGTTGGATTTCAGAATTTCAAAATCCACCCTTGTGTTTACAAGTGATGGTAAATGTGTGGTTAGAATTATTATTAATAATTATGAATTAATTATCTGTATCATAAACGAGCCTGACAACTTCCTTGATGGTGTTATGCAATCCAATTAACGCACCGTAGCTTTGCCAATACTCTCACCAACTGGTGAGCTTCGAAACACAAAAAGCATTTAAAGTAAATAGGTTAGTGCAAATGTCAGATAAAGGCAAAGTGTCTTTTTTTTTTTACTTCATAACTTTGTCTATCCTTCAGCTGAAACATTTTTGTTTGTATTCCAGTGGAATGAATTATTCCTCCACGATTCAACACTGAAGTAGGGCAGTCGTTTTAAAGCACTTTCTTTTAGCTTGCTTTGCAGGTCACTCATGTTTTTTTCTCCGTTCAGGTCCAAGAGATAATACAAGTCCAGGTGACCACTGTAGCTCCATATCGACCAGTGACAGGGGCTCCCCGGCAGTATCCGAACCGATAACTGAGGACAGCGACGAGACCGACAGGAAGACAGGGGACAGCAACCTGACAGACGACAACGAGGACATGCACAACGGCTTTGACGCGCGGTCAGAGCAAGACCCGAGCTCCACCCGGAAGAAGAAGACCCGCACCGTGTTCAGCCGCAGTCAGGTGTTTCAGCTGGAGTCCACCTTTGACGTGAAGCGGTACCTGAGCAGCTCGGAGAGGGCGGGGCTGGCAGCGTCCCTCCACCTGACGGAGACTCAGGTCAAGATCTGGTTCCAGAACCGGAGAAATAAGTGGAAGAGGCAGCTGGCGGCAGACCTCGACGCTTCACATGTCACACACTCCACCCAGCGGATTGTCAGGGTCCCCATTCTCTATCACGAGGGCCCCGGACACACTGCTGCACTGGGCTTCACCATGAACGGACATCCACTTTCTGCACCCTTAGCCGGATTCTCCAGCTACCCTCTGTCCACGTTCGCTCACTCCATGAGCTTGTTAAGATCGCAGATGACCGGCTTGGTGTAAAGACTTTCATATATAAACTGTTTGAAACATGAGTTCACCCTGTTCATACTGAGTCGTGCAATAACCCACACCCAAAGATGAGAGCCGCAGAGACATTAACATACAGTGATGAATCATCTGTATCTGTTCATACATCTATGCCCCTGTCACAGCAAGGCCGAAGCTGCTTATAGCCTACTGTATGTTTGAAAACACACATATTTTTGCAAACTTTTATATGTAAAGCCACACATCTTTCCAACGTTGTCACTTTTCCACATAATAGATGAATAAAAAAACTAAGCACAAACTTGTCTGTTTCTCTATTGATTATGAATACCCAATTACCTAAAATGTGTCTTCCCCTGTCAATAAACTTGCAGAGAAATGTTTATAGAGAAGGAATTGAACATATGTGCTCTGTGACACAATGAGAGATCAAGGCTGAGAACACGAAAACTGTATTTTTCGGGTATATATTTGCACTTGCAGTAGTTCTGACTACAAGTAGGCCTCTGTTATGATTATCCAAGCTATTGTTCTCTGCGTCAATATTAGCTGAGCAAGTAGATGTTAATGTATTTTCGATTAAAACTATTTAAAAAAAATAAAAATAAAATGGAATGGAATGGACAGGCATCTAATTACACTGTTCACCAAAATAAAATAGCCGAATATTGTATTCACAAAACCACGAGGCAATATTCATCTAAAGCTATATTATTTACATTATACCTATTTTAATTTGCAAAGATATAAATAATTTATAACTTGAAAATAGGGTACAGTGAACAATTACTTTAAAAAAAAAAATGCAACGAGGTATACATTTGGACAAGCAATTATGTCCTTTTGTTTACCGTTACTTAGGATATACAATACTAAAAGTAGCCAAACTCGCAAAGAAAAATATATCACTCACATTTTAAACCATGTGAACAAGTAAAAGTGTTTTTAGAAATACTATGCAAATTTCCCCAAGATACACACACAAATATATGAGCCCAGAGATGATCTGATTTGCTTTTAGGTTACACACACACACACACACACACACACACACACTAATCTGTGTGACTCGAATCAAGCCGCCTGGCCGAACTTCACAGAGATGGTGCAGCAGGAGATCAAAACCACCATCACATGTGTGAGTCACGGCGCACATACAGCATGGTGTGAAATAACAGTGACATTAAACTCTTTATTTTCCTGAGGGAGCACTGCAGGGCGGCGGACCCCGGCCGGTTCTCCTTGCAGCAGATGTATAACGATAAAGAGGTTGAGTGGAGGAGAGGGAGTCCCGCCCTCCTTTCGCATATCATCCCCTCGCTGCCATTGGTCCGTACTGCACGCTCATCTTGACCAATGAGCGAGGAAAGCGCTTGCCCCATCCGGTGTGTAGTAAGCGATAGAGGCAGAGTATCGCCAGCCCAGCAGTGTCTGCTCAGTGGCTGCTGCTATGGTAATGGTGCGTGTAGCATCGACACGTTAGTGGTCAGATTAACGTCCCGGGTGAGACTTAAATGCGAGGATAGACGCGGAAGTAAACAAGAAAAAGGATTTACGCGTTGGAGAATATGAACAAAGTGGACGCACCATGCCGACCCGTCGCCTCTCTGAAATTCACCATTGACAACATCCTCAATCTCAAGACAAGCGGGAGGAACCGGGACAGCTGTCACCCCGCCGGAGTGCACGGTGGCTCCGCCACGGTCATGCGTAAAGACGTCTTCCAGAGCCACCACGAGGAGCACGTAGCCAAGCAGCGACAAGACCCGGGCAGCAGACTGAACGACAGAGGTAAGAGGGGTTTGTTCATTTGGAGCTGTAGGTGTGTGCAGCGACTTCGTGTTATGTGTCACCATTACGCACCAGATTAGCCTACAGTTGTAGCAGCACAGTTGACAGGGGGTTAAAGAAAGTTTCTTTTTGTTCGCAGAGTTGCTGACAGACTGCAGGGGAGCAGCGGACTCGGTCATCATCAGCCGCGGGGACCCGAAGAAGGCGACGGAGGTGCGCTTCGAGAGCGGGGACAGCAGCTGCGACGACAGCAGTTCCACCACCACGGCCACGGACACCCACAAAGGTGGCAGCCCCGTCAAGAAGAGCAAAATGATCACGAAAAAGAAAACGCGCACTATTTTTTCCAAGAGACAGATCTTTCAGTTGGAGTCTACCTTCGACATGAAACGCTATCTGAGCAGCGCAGAGCGCGCCTGTCTCGCCAGTTCCCTGCAGCTCACGGAGACCCAGGTCAAAATATGGTTTCAGAATCGCAGGAATAAATTGAAACGGCAAATCTCAACCGAAATCGACGGACCTGTTAGCGATTTTTCTGAGACTGGAAAGCCCATGGTGGTGGGGCAGCTCCCGGCCTTGTACAAAGAGAGCAACCTGCTGGGGAGGTGCCTGCTGCCCATGCCTCTGCCCGTGGTCTACCCGGGGAGCAGCACGCCTTACCTCTGCTTCACTAACGCCAGCAAGTACTTCAGCCTGTACGACGGGGACGTATGATGGTGACATTAAACCCACGTGAAAGAGACACTTTTTGGTGGGCTGTAGTCAAGATTCAAGCATTTAAAAGGGTGTTAGATGGGGGGCCAGACCTGCGGCCTTACTGTTTTTGGAGACTGTAGATAAAACGACAAAGGAGAAGTTACATATCACTTAAAAAAAAGCTGATTCGGTATTATTTATTTATTTTCTTCAAAGCTATGGATTTTGTTTAGGCCTCACACTAAACCTACTACACATAACCGTTTTTAGGATATAGCAGGCTAAGCTAATAATAGCCTGAGGGAGGCCTAAAACATTATTAATCCTAACATTTTATTGTTTACATGACATGGCATTATTATTATCATTATCATTATTATTATCAACGACAACAGCATTTCCAGCAGCCTAGCCACCAAAGAAATTATAGCCTAGCTATTTGCATGCATTTCCTGTATCATAATGAATTTTGAATTACTGAAATTATCTATGTATTTAAATGAATGTAATTAACATTTTATTATATATTTCACGCATGTCTATTTTGTTTTCTGAGTATCCTACTATTCTTACTTTATTCCACGTTTGTCTATAGGCCCATTACACCATTTATTCAAACTGTAATTAAAACATCTTCATTCAAGAAATATTTTTATTCACTATTTTCAACTGAACTGTTTGTGTTTCGGACCAGTTTATCTCTACATGACATTGCAGTAAATGAGGATACAATGAACGTGCAGTCAGTTTAATAATTAAAACATGGTTATGTTATTACAGAATCTTGGTCATTTCAGCATAAAGTCTTGCATGGATTGTTTAGGTATAGGCTAAAATAATATGAGAAAAATTCATGAAAGAAATGTAACAAAATCAGCAGCTGCAAAGCAAAAACGTAAACAACGTAATGTAAATGAGTGCTCCTTAATGTAAATCCAATGTAAGTGACCATATGCTCGCTTAGGCCCAAATTGCTTGTAGACACACACACTATTTTTTCAGCAAGTAACTCAGGCCACAACACATATTTACAAAAGCATGTACTGTGTATTGCGTTTACTGTGTTTTAAATTAGGAGCAAGGCAATTATAAAACATTCGGAAACCTTCATTAAATCCATTGCTATACGTTTGATATAATACAGAGAAACAAGACCACTTAAGTTGCAATGATGTCAATACGTTTGTGTAACATGCAAAAAACAGTGAATGTGAATTTCTAAAATATATATCCGTTGGGGATATAAATAATTTTACGAGATAACCCACAAAACATTTTGGGTAACACTGATCTGTTACCATTCTTGTACGTTTCTCTTGCACGCAGGTATAGTGGTGTGCACGGTATGGGACACATCCCATTTTAAGTTTAAATTCAACAATTCAAATGTTTTATTGTGCACAAAAGCTACAGCGATGTTGTTGGCAATTAATATCTAAGTCCTGTGCCCTGCCAACACTGTAACACACAATATACTTAAAGACCTAAAGAATTAAGGAAGTCAAATAGTGCAATAAAAAATCGTTTGAGTGACAATGGTGGAATAAGTAAGCTATGTACAAGATACAAATAAGTGGGAAAGCTACCAGATATACCTGGCAAATGAATACTAAACACAACATTCTGAGCAACGTGAGCCACTCATTTAGTTCCTTAGAAAGAAATATTTGGAAAATATTAACCCGTGCATGCTGAGTTTGAGGGGAAGTTTGTGAGACAGCGTCTACTCCAGCTCTCTTCCTGAACAGAGGCCACTCTGCTGTCTATACTTCAGGCACAGAACATTTGATCAGCAGCCTCAGCAGAACTCAAAATACACAATGGAAAGCTATGCTCTGTGAAACCGAGCCAAGGCTTATTCCTTTTGTAATACCTTCAAGTAAACTCAAGCATATTACCAAAGACTTGAGTTTGCGCTTTGGTACCACACCTCAAACAGCAGAGAGTGAATTAACACACCGTTCTAATCCCCAAAAAGAAAAGAGTCATTGGGTTTGTGGATTTGGATGTCCAAGTTGTTGCTTCATCTGCTTTGTGGATTGAGAAACATAAATATATTTCTGTTACTGGTGATATAACCTGCAGATTGAGGATGTAAATGATGCATTATGTTAATTCGATAATCTGAGATTTTCTTTAAATACTGAGGTTGCTGAATACGATCTTCAACACCAGATAATGTATTTGGCAGGTTGTATATTTTTTATAAATACAACCCGTATGTTCCTGTGATTTCTTTTCTTTTTTGACTTTTAGAAAAATATTAACAGTGTAGAGTTATGTTGTGTCTTTACAGGGACCACACACAACCATTTTATATTGTATTGATCCCTGCATGGACCGCTTTACCCCTCACCATCCTCATGACATGAACTTTAAAAGCCCTTACGTGAACAGGATTTTAGAGTAGCCCAGACAAACACTGGATCCAACCCAAATCTCTCTTCATGAATTATAAGAGGAGGAAAATAAGAATCATGCCATTTTCTTACATTAATGAAAATCCACTTGACTGAGCTGACCTTATCAGGGCTGCCCTTTGACCCCCAGTGCCCTTTACTAGTAAACTTACCCTTCACATTTTTATCCAGACAACAATCGTACTCAATTGAAAATTAGAACTTTAAAGGCATACAGGAAGGGCATTTAAATGATGGGATTTTACATGAAAAGGACACCTTATGTTCATTATCGATCCACTCCACCAAGCAATACAAAATTCTCTAAGGCGTTTGCATGCATTATTATGTGTGTGACTCAGAGACATTGTGTGTGTGTGTGTGTGTGTGTGTGTGTGTGTGTGTGTGTGTGTGTGTGTGTGTGTGTGTGTGTGTGTGTGTGTGTGTGTGTGTGTGTGTGTGTGTTCACAGACGAAGAGAGGCCTGTTATGTGCAGCACGCTGTCTCGTGAATCAGAGCTACGAGAGAGTTACACTACTGCTCGGCTCAGTACCCAGAATCCCTTGCGGCTGCCCGCTCAGACATGATGGCAGACTGTCAAGATTTGAGGTGTGGCCAAATGGCATGCAATTAACATTTAAGCCGTATTTTATGGAGACATAAATGGAATATCATAGTATATTAAAGGCACTCAGACTGGATCTTTGGACTGCAGACAACAGGAAAAAACTATTCTTAATACTAAGTTTTATTTATTATGAATGACCACCATTTGTAAATGCACTTATTAACGTCAATGCTTTTCATAAGAAGTGCTAATTGTTTCTACCACTGTGCTCTTTTGTCACTCCTCTCCCATTCTTACTGTAGTCGCCTCCCACCTCTTGCCTTGTCATAGCTCATCACAGCAGTGTGTGCACTGAAGCCTGACTGTGTGCGACTATGACTGAATGAGAAGGGCAGAGGAGGAGTGTGTGTAACAAAGAGAGAGGGTAGACAGAAAGAAAGAGATCTGCCAGTTGATGAGTGTATGTTTGTATTGGAAAAAATACCATAATGTTTGTATTTCTGCATGGGTCTGCGCCTCTCTATAGCCGGGGTCGGGCTGGTCAGGAGCAAGGAACAGCTGTTCCTGTTGGATGGAGAGCAACTGTGTGTGTGTGTGTGTGTGTGTGTGTGTGTGTGTGTGTGTGTGTGTGTGTGTGTGTGTGTGTGTGTGTGTGTGTGTGTGTGTGTGTGTGTGTGTGTGTGTGTGTGTGTGTGTGTGTGTGTGTGTGTATGTGTGTGTGTGTGTGTGTGTGTGTGTGCACATGCAATACGCCAGGGTAAAACTCTCCAGCAGCTCTTTTCTGCATGACTAGAGGGGGGCCGCTTTCTCAGCTCGCTTGTTACTTTAACCTCTGTTGACCTCTCCCAGTCATCTGACAAAGGTCATCGCCCAAGACGATGGGAGAGACTGTCCCTGAACAAGAAAGCACAGAGAGACTGTCACAAATACCTCTTTACATCGAGGCATTTCCAGGGCCAGTATGGAGCTGTGACAAATTGAAAACCAGTATGGGTATTTTAACCTACTTGTTCACCAACTATTTGCCCTGGCTGGAATCAAGAGCTATACATGTCAGAGGCTGGGGGGGGGGGGAACTTGGGAAACAAAGGTTCATGCGTACAATAAGTGGCTTGAACACGATCACACATTGTATAGCCTGAACGCTGTGGCATACATACTAGGCATACATGTAACATCATTTATTATTCACTATAGTTTAAATAACTACCAATTTGCTATCATTGTGGCATTAGCCATTTTGAACAATGAATTTCGATTCTGCTTCAGGTGCATACAGAGGTTTATTTGTTGTGTTTATAACATGAATACACTTAAAGAATATCAGTTAATAGTGAAAATACCATACTACTGTAATACTAAATACAAATACGATTTGCCTGGAGAAAAGGGCTAATAACACAATGATACAAAGAAGTACTTACTGATTCAAAGTTTAAGATAAGATTTTAAAGTTGTCAGAGAAGACGTTCGTAGAATTCAATCTGACTTTGTAAGTATAAGAGCAGCCTGAGCACATCTCCAACACAGACTGCCACTGTTGTTACTGTTTGTGAAATTCACGCTGGCATTGCAACATAAACAGTAAAGGTATGAAGTGGCTCCTCTGGTACAGTCGATGGAAAACCAAACCGTCTTAAGGTGGTTTGTAAGTTATAAACCAACTGCAAACTAACAGTGGCCCCATCATAGAACTAGAACGGATTGATTTATTGGAAAAGAGTGTAAAAGATTCATAAGAGGGATCTCACATGCCATGTTTTAGGCTCTGGGTGTCAATGGTGTATGCAACTGTCAGTGTGGGAGGGAGCACTTAGTTCAACAATGCCTTAACAACGCTGTCATTACGATGAAACAGCATGTGTCTCCAGCAATAGCCCTGTTGGAGGATTCCCCCGGGGAGTCCCCATGCACTGCAGGGCAACCTGAGACCAAAACGACATGACACAGCACATTGTGAGGTAAACAACAAGGCTATTAGGCTGCAGCCACACGAGGACGATAACGGAAACGAACCAAAATCGTTATCAAAAAAGTATTCCGTCCACACG